GGCAACAAACTGCGACTGCTGTTCACAAAGCAAAGATTCCTGCTGAAGGAGCAAGGCATCGGAAGTTTCGACGAGATGCACGGATACTTGTGTGTGCTAAAATCTTAGAATGCATCCAGAATTGCATAATCTTAGAGACTGAACTCTTAGCATTCCCTCTTCTCAGGGATGCAGCTAGCAACATTTCTATTCGACTTAGTTCTCAGTTCATCGCAGCTAAATAACTTCACAAAACGACCAGTGGAACAGCCACTTTGCCCAGTTTTCGCTTAAAAAAGCGCCAGCAACATTGAAATCCGAGAAAAAAAAAATTTAACGAACCTTAAGCTGTTTCAAGACACGCGTCAAATCGAGCATTAACTGTCCGGTGCCCGGCCCACTTTCGACCAACTGCCATTCACCAGTATGTCCTGAAAATATCTGAAAACAGCAAAACATGCAATCCAATTTCGCAGCCATTTATCCGAAAGCAAAAAATTTACAGCCAATGGCGAATGAAAACGAACTAACCTGTATTGGCGAGTTCGTGGTAACACCACACAGCGATAAGTTCGCCGAAGATTTGGCTCAGCTCGGGAGCAGTGATGAAATCGCCTTCCTTGCCAAATATTTCACTACCATGGCGCGAATAGTAACCGCCGATGGGAGATACAGCGGTCAGACGCATGAAATCAGCCACACTCATCGGACCATTCATGCAAATTTTCTGCTGTAACAGTAATAAACGATGAATAAGGCAACTGTATCAATGGATTTTCAAAAGTGATAAGTTATGCGAATTTGGTCACCTTAATGAAATGAAGCAGTTTCTCGGATCGGTCGCCCTTACTGAAATATCGCTTTTGCCTCATTCTCCAGAATGCAGCACAACTAAGCAACATCTTGCTTCTGGATGCGATTTTTTGCGCTCTCTCGGCTACTGAGATCATCCTACAATGCATCGCAAAACGAGTAACGATGTGGAGATGTATTCAACTAAAATTTACGAAAATAGCATCAAACTGAAATGAAATTGTTGAAATGTTTCGGTCCTTGAAGTCGTATACATTTCTATTGAGCACCACAACTGTACCTTATCAGCACGACGGCTGTAGTCCCAAATTATTTTTAACAAGGTGCTGCTAAATCCCCAAGTGTTTGGGTAATGAAAAAAGAAGGAGTCTAATATGCAGAAGAGGAGTACAAATCGAAAGACACAGAAAAACACATATTGCGAAGTACCAAAAACAGATCCGGCAAGGAA